ACATCCACTAGCAGAGCTATTGCACAAAGCTCCCTGAGCCTCCATCCTGCTCTGGTGGTTCACAGATTCACTTTGGATCCAGGAATACTTGGTACAGAAAGGACAGCACTGAAAAGAAGCCTGGGAGAGAATGTCTAGCATGCGTTCCTAATGGAGCCAGTGCTTCAAAACAGCTCATCTAAATATAGCTTCCCAAAAAAACCCACTCAAGTCGATAGGATTTAGGCATGGCTGTAACTTCTAAAGCATGCGGCTATGGAAAAGGAGGCCTTGGATCAAAGGAAGTGCTTCTTACAATGATGGGGGCAATCAGAGATAGGACCCTGTGTGTGAACTGTCTGGAGAAGAGGCTGGACAGACAGTAATCAAATTACTGGAACCAAGTATTTCTCATTAGCAAAGTCATTTATGCCTTCTAAATGAACTTAGGGATGAAGTGTTTTACTACCTGCCAGGCATGTAACCAGTCATCCTAACCTGCCTTAGAACGCGGAAGCTTGCATTTGAAAAGGGAGGATGGATAGATGAATAGGGATGTAGCCATGGGGAATCAGCATGATTCCTGTCAAGGGCAGGTTTTGCTTCTCCACGCTATGAGGAAGGAGTCAGCAAGCACATGGATAAAGGAGACAGTTTCTCTGATCTTGCTGGATTTCCCACAATGTTTCCAGTGATCTGGGATAAGAGGGAAGGTTCTTGCACAGATCGGAAGTAATGGAAAGCAAGAAAGAGCAGGAAAGCAGAAGGTACAAAGCTAATGCTAGCTGAAGCTGGTGATCCAGAGTGAACTGGATGTGTCAGTATGTGCTCACTTCTGCTTTGACCGGAGCAGAGATGCACAGATTCACTGCTGCCCACAGCTGTGGAAGGTGTCCCTGCCCATAGCAGAGGGTTGGAGCTGTATAAGCTTTAAGGTCCCTTCCAACCCAAACCAGGCTGGGATCCTATGATTTGCCAGACATTTCTCAGAACATCTATTTAATGGAGAAATTCTGACCGCATCCATGTCTGCAATCAGCAAGACATTGTGGATCCCCACCAAGCCAGTCCGCACCAGGGGTAGCTGGAGGCAATGCTGAGGCTGATGGATGCAGCTGCCTGGTCTGATTCTTCCATTTAGAAAATATGGGATGCTGGTCAGGGTGAAGCTGGGTTGAAAAGTGAGAGGTGCTGCTGTGAACACAGCACAGACAGAGAAGTCCTATGTCTTGGGGTAGAAGGCTGCCTGGCAAAGCAGACTTGAGCCCTGTGAAATAGGTTCCAGGAAGAGGATGCTGCATTTATGTACCTAAGGTCACTGAGGTGCGGCTATATAGAAATATCTTCAGTGCTCACTGAGGTCCATCAAAAGATGCTGGCACAGCCCTCAAGTGAATCCATGGAATACATTTAGATCCAATCACAAAGTTAACCATGGGGATAGTTACTTGAAGGCCTTGGGATAATTCCCAACATAGCCAGCAGCATTCCTGAGTGTTCTGATCCAGCCATAGTACTGTGGTCCCATCTCCCCTCCTCAGGCACAGGAAGCCCATGGAGTGATGGGTTTCTTTGTGGGATGAGCATCACTTTGCTGTTGAGCCTTGAAGGGTAGAGGATCCAGCCTCAAATCCTGACACAGTGCCCACCTGGAAGCACAAGATCAGGTGCCAGATCTCGGAGTGGTCTTAGGGATTGCCTGCAAACACCTGCCTGAAAGCAACTGAATGGAGACCGCCAACTCGCTTTGCACAGACTCCAAAATATTTACTATGCTTTCGCTTCCCCAGCGAGTGAGGCTCAGATGTCAGATTGATTGGGTGCAATGCAAGGAGCTTGACAGACAGAAACGCTGCGGAGCAATCTGGAAAACATGGGAAGCTGGGCTCCACAGAACAACGTGTCTTTTTCCAGACAACCAAATGCAAGGAACAGGAATGCACACTGCATTAGGAGGACAAGGGTCTGCATTCAGTGAGGACTGCAACCAAAGAGGCCCTGGCAAATAAGAGGCTCCACAGGAACTTGCAGGAAGAGAGCTCATTTTAGTGCTTGGATACTGATGTATGGCAGTAAAATCAAAGCCCTTTGGCAAGAGCATGGCTGAAAGGGTGCAGAGAGCACATCTGGAAAGCAGCTCTTAAGAGGCACAGATCTCATCTGAAGCTTGGCAAACCTGTCCTGAAACCCAAGGCTGAAACAGCTCATGTCCTCTGGGGCAGGAAGGATGGCCTGATGGGTCCGTAACAACCTGGTTTGGAAGAGCAGAAGGAAGAGGTCTCTTGAATTGAGGAGAAACACGCTCAGGAACCCACTGGCCAAGCACAGGACTCAGCCTCTGGACTAGCAATGAAGGGTTCATGTGCTAACAAGAAAAGCAATCAAAACACCCACTGCCAGACAAGACTCTAAGTCCAAAAGAGGTGCTCTGCTGAAAGGATGGGATTTACCTTAGTGAGGGGGCTCTTTCCTTCCAGAACTGCAGGTAGCCAAATGCCCCCAAGGATCACATTAGCTCTATCAGAAGCTGCTGTAGGATATTACAATAGGTGCCATATCTTTTGGTGATCTACTGCAATGCCTTATGTTATGTGCTTAAAAAGCTGCCATGTATTATGGGTCATTACGTACATTGGGTTACACTCAGCTGAGTTATTGCTGACACAAAGTGTTTGTTAACCATCACGGTACTGTATTTCTTTGGGATGGAAAGGTGATAGCATCACACCGCAATCAAAACCAGCTCAATGTTTTCCTCTGGAAAGATAACACCCACCCACCCCAACTGCAGCAATTGCTGGTTTTAAGGAGCCAGGTCTTGAGACATGAGGCAGAGAAACCCTTTTAGAAGCTGAAAAGGCACAGAGCAGCACCTTCACTTCCTTCCCAGTCAATTTCTTTCCAGCTGGTTTAAGATGGACTCTCTTGTGAACAGTTATTCCTTGATGGTAGGAAACCAGTCTCCTTCACTGGTCTCAACTGGCACAGCTGAAAAACAGCCTTTCCCTTGCAAGTTAATTATAGGAGAAAGCTCTTTTCTGCTTAACTACTTCCTCAGGCAACCTGCACAAGAAGCTTGACCATAGGGGTCCCCCTGTGCAGTCAGTCTGGCTTTGGAAGCTGATAAGAACGGGAGAGATAAATCAGGGGATGCACATGTGAATACTGTCCTCACTGCTCAGCTGAGCTGTTAAGCCCATAGCCACCAGCCCTTACTGTTGCTTTCCAGAGCCTCTGGCCAGAAACACTTCTGGTCTTAGAAGATCAGTGCCTATACCAGTTAACTCTTATACAGTCCTTGCATCTTAGGGGTTATACACCACATACCTGCCTCCTTCTGCACCCTGAATTTGCAGATGCTTGTATCTTCTAATATTTGCTTTCTAGATTGCTAAAGCAGCTGGAAGTCCAAATCCACAGATCCCCAAAACCACTTGGATTTGGTTCTTGTGTTACCAGATACCTGCTGAGAGCTGCCTGTGTTGATGTTTTACTGACAGCAGAACACTTCTTACCCTGTTATGATCCAAAACCACTTGGAAAAATAACACATCCAGAAGGCTACCATGAAGATGGGAGCTGCCATCGATGATGCTGACATTTCAGAATGTAAACTAAGTCACCATTCATGGTTAGACCATCTATACTAGTTGAAAACAAGTTCAATTAACCCTATTGCTGGTAGCCCAAGTACTGTCCAACAGGTAGCGACGCTCTCCCATAGCATCCCAGCCTGGTTTGAGTTGAAGAGACCTTAAAGCTCATCCAGTTCCAACCCCTTGCCATGGACAGACACACCTTCCACTAGAGCAGGTCGCTGTTTTTATAAACAGATGGCACTAACAGTATCTTTATGACCATCCAGGTCACATAATGCTTTTGTCTTGCATGTGCTCACAGTTTCATCCATCACTTTGCAGCCTGTTACATGAGCTGTAACTGTAACTTCCCTGCAGTACCCCAGTAAAATTGTCCTGAGTGCAATGTGCCGTAAGTTTTGTTTAAATCCTGTGCATCTGACTTGCTTGCCCAGTTCTAGTAACATCCTTCAGAAAACCCCACTATTCCACAGTAAGGGAAAAAGCTCTTTCAGAGACAGGAAGCAATTCTGCACAGGATGGGAAGGCACAAGCCCTCAGAAAGACAAAGATGTGTAGAAAAACATAAGGTCAATGGGCTTCCCCCCCCCCCCCCCCCCCCACTGTTTATAGTGCTTCCAAAAGAGTCAATTTATCTGCTTTTGTTCTGTCCCCTGTAGCAAACATCAATCCCTCCCTTCCTCACCTAGCCCCTTGCCATGAGCAGAGATGAAATAAACAGCAGGGCTCCCCTTGCCAAGAGCAATTACACCTCCCGGCAGTGCCAAAAACACCGTTGCCTGCATCCTGGCATCAGCCGGTTCAGCACAGCCTCGGGAACAGGATTTGCACAGCCAGCAATAGAAAGAACTTGGCTTTTCCTCCGTCTGACCAAAATAATGGTGATTTAAAAATATCCTTGGCAAGGAAATGGCAGAGCACGCTTGAAAACATACATCAAACTGCTTCGAATCTGCAGGGACTCACCAAGGCATCACAGGAGAGAGGTTTAACACTGCAGACAGCAAAGGGGGGCATTGTTAGAGCTACGTGGAAAGAAAAGTGCTTTCTTTTCAAAGGGAGATGGTGACAGAGTTAAGTTTCAGGGGGGTTTGGTTAGGTTGAGGTCTGGGTTTTCATTTAAACCTTCTCTGTGGCCTTGGGATAACAGTTGGGTGTGATCTTCAAGAGCTTTTCTAACATAGGTGATTCTATGATGCTATGAAGGGGAGGCAGCACTGCCAGTCGGCTTGAGGAGGAGAAGCACTTTGACCAGGAGCAGAGAGATGCTGGGGCATTTCTTCTCCCCAGCAGGCAGCCAGAGGAATAAAGCAGAGAGGAAAGAGGTGGGCATCCAATGGACATCTGCTTGGGCTCTCTTCCTTGGAGCCAAACTGAGCCCATGAGACATTTCAACATCAGCACAAGAGGGTTCCCCCTTACCGTTGGAATCTTGGGAGAGTTGCTCACGGTTGTTAGAAGCTGCAAGTAGCAGGGAACACAGCAGAATGCCAGGAGTAGCTGATCTTCAGGGTGCTCTTCTCTTCAAGATGCCACTTCCAGCTCCTGCAGACACACCGCATTGGGAAGAGTGGGGTATGTAGCTTGGGGTAGCAAGAAGGTGCATGCATGGAAAAGCATGACCTCAGACTCAGCTTGCAGGAAGCTTTTAGGAACTGCTTCTCTTCTGGTGTGGAAACTTCATGGACCCTGAAGCAATGAACAGAAACACAAAGTCAGAGGCTGGTTTGTGTTGGAAGGGACCTTAAAGCTTCTCCAGTTCCAACCCCCTGCTAGGAAAGAGCTTCTGCTAAGAGCTCATCTCAATCTCCCCTGTTCTGGCAGGTTAAAGCCACTCGCCTTGTCCTGTCCCTACAGGCCCTTGTCCAAAGCCCCTCTCCAGGTTTCCTGCAGCCCCTTTAGGCACTGGAGCTGCTCTAAGGTCTCCCCTTAAGGAGCCTTCTCTTCTCCAGGCTGACCCAGCCCAGCTCTCCATCCTGTCCAGGTCCCTTTGGATCCCATCTCTTCCCTCCTGCACCACTCAGCTTGCTGCCATCAGCAAACTTGCTGAGGGTGCATCAATCCCCCTCAAATACTAACATCAAAAACTATTCCAGGAGGTCTCAGAGGCGTCCTGAGTTACCGTGGTTGCAGTACCAGCAGCATCACCTGCTCTGATGCATGTTACAAGCCTGGATGAATCTCAGGCTCTCACTTCACAGGCAGCAAGCACTCTGGGGTGCCTATTAAAATAGATGAGCTCAATGAGCAGCCAGGTCACAACGCCTGGCTTCCTGCTGTCTCTGCCTTCTCCAGGCATTTTCTGCTCCTCTTTTTCAGGTCTACAAAGCTTGTGGGCTAAGAAAGCAGAACAAAAAGCCAGCAGAGAGAGCTCAGTTCCCCAGCACCAAGGGTTTCTACAAAGGTCTTACTGCAGAAAGGCCCGAATAAAAAATACACCCAGAAGTGCAGCAGAGGTGTGGAAAAGAGCTATTTGCTAGGCCTGCCATTGGGGTCAGAATGAGAAGGGGTGCTATTGCATTATCTGACCAGCCAACTGTGGTAAGAACTACCTCGTAGCCAGGGCAGAGTGAGGCTGCAGGGGTACTGGGCTTTACTACACAAAGAGATAGAAATGAGGTTAGCAAGGTATAAATCAGTTAATTCTGAATCTGAAACAGCTTCTTTGGAGATGTTGGCTTTGGGGTAGGATTCCTGCAAAGGGAGAAGGATGCGGAGGTCTGATTTTAGAGGGATGCCTCCAAAAAGGCAGGGTAGAACAAAGAAAAGAGGAACCACTCATGCAGGAGGGACAAGGCACAGATTGATGTGAAAGGTGAGGGACAATTTAGCTGGTGTGAGCATCATGGTTTCAGCACTAAGAATGCTGGTAAAAGATGCCTGCAACACAGCTAATGCAGATCTGAAGATGCTCATAGGCTACAGGAGAAAACCAGCACCAGGTACATTGCCAGGTTTGATTGAGGCCAATGCTAGAAACAGAAGAGCCCAGAAAATGCCTGCGGTTTGATGCAGGGAAAAGAAAAAAGACATAAATTACATGAGCAATAAAGAGTAAGAGAGCATTGCACATGGACCCACAAGCTTCCTTTACAGCAACCACACACAAAGAACTTGGAAACTGGTTCAAAGACCACAAGAAATGAAGAACTACGAGATCTATCAGATATATGAGCTAAGATGATAATTTCCTATGCTCCATAGTACCCATTTATCCTCTGCTGAGGAGCTGACCAGAGAGACTTCAGGCAGATACAGCCTATATCTACATGGATCAGCAGTGCTGTACCAAAGCAGCGGGCTTGTAGAGTTATTCAGTTGCTCTATATCCATGCTATGTATGCTTTAGGGTTTGACTGGCTAGCTCTAGTCTGAGCCAGTGACCTGGATGCCTACCAGCACTGCTCATGCATTACATGCCTGATGGGAAGGAAAATGTTTCTCCAAATGCACCCATAGTTAATGTGGGGTGAATGTAATGTGGTCTTCTGCAAGTGGGTGCCAAGCAAACTGTGCCCCTGTGCCAAGCTCATGCTACCTGGGAGCCCACAGCAGTGCGGTTAGCACAGATGTTCCAGCATCTGCTGCATTCATTGCTGGGATGATGCCAGCAATGTGGGTCTGTATTTGGGTCACAAACAATTTGCTCAATTGTTATTCCAGTTTCCAGCATTAAGCAGAAAATAAAGGTTTTCTTGAGTGATACAGCACACGTGTACCTTATACACAGCACTATATGGAGCTTTGTCCAACTCTGACGCTTCCTAAGGGCAGCATTGCAATACACTATCCCCCTGTGTTTCCCCAGCAGGTCTTTCTCCGTCTGCTGGTTCCTTAGCCTGATCCCCTGCTCTACCTCCTTAGGGCTGGAGCACTGCAAACATAAGAGAACAAACAAGCTTGTTATTGATGTGTTTTGGCACCACTCCATTCATTATTGATGTGGTGTGTAAATGATGGCCTGCTGTCCATTTCCTCTGCTGTAAAGTATTCATATCAATTATTAAAAACAGTCTGAGGCACGAAATATGGGGCATAAAACACACTTGCCCGTGAGTGATGGGCATGCAGCTATGATACAGCTACATCCAAGCTGCATCTTTAATGCCGCTTCCTTCCCCTGCTGAGCCATGGGACACTGGACAGAGCCTTGGGTGACATGGTCTAGTGTGATGCATCCCTTCCTATAGCAGAGGGTTGGAACTGGATGATCTTAAGGTCCTTTCCAACCCAAACCAGTCTGGGATTCTATTCTATGATTCTATGGACATGCAGGGACTATTTTAATGCAGGCAGGAGATGCACAAACCCTTCAGCTCAGCCTATGCCACCTTCCTGTCCATCACTTCCACCCCATCAGCCTATGTATACCCCCTTTGCCATGCAGGACCAAACATTTCCATTCCTCAAGAGCCCCTGGGACTGGCATCCATCAGGGAAAGGAAGAATCTCCTTGCCTGGGATGTGCTGTTGGAGAGCCACAACATTGACCATTACAGCAAAAAGACAGGTTATTTGAGCTCAAAATCTTAACCTTGCATCACTGGAGCCATACAACAGTGTGCCAGGAGCTGTACAACAGAGATGGAGATCCCTTCCCCCTCATTTACTTGTCCAGAGTCAACAAGAAGCATGATGTGGCAGAGAGACCATGTGGACCATTCATAGAAGGGACCTTAAAGCTCATCCAGCTCCAGCCCCTGCCACGGGCAGGGACACCTTCCACTAGAGCAAGGTGATCCAAGCCCCTGTGTCCAACCTGGCCTTGAGCACTGCCAGGGATGGGGCAGCCACAGCTTCTCTGGGCACCCTGTGCCAGCACCTCAGCACCCTCACAGGGAAGAGCTTCTTCCTTATCTCCAACCTGAGCTTCCCCTGTTTCAGTCTGATTCCATCACCCCTTGTCCTACCGCTGCAGTCCCTGATGAAGAGTCCCTCCCCAGCATCCTTGTAGCCCCCTTCAGACACTGGAAGCTGCTCTGAGTCCAGCAGTGTACACTGGTGAGATGAGACACCCCAAAGCCAGCCTTGTAGCAGTCCCATCAGCTCCATGAGAGTTCAACCCTCACCCCACCACACAAAGAGGACCTGTCACGGGATGGAGCTGTTTTGGCAAGCATCCCTTTGGCTATATAGAAAACAGTTCCTAACACTGCATGCCCGGACAGAGTTTTCCCTCCTTCTTTCCTCCACCCCCTTCTTTCTGGGGATGGCAGGCAAGGAGCAAACGCTGGGTTTATTCATACCCTCTCCATTCATTGCGGCGTGCGTCACCAACTGCACGAGTGTGGGAGGTGCAAGCATGCCTCACAGTCAAATCACCAGCCTTTCAGCTTAATAACACCTCAGGGGGATGGATGCAGGTTCTCTTTCCCTTTTTAACAGGGAAAAGAGAGGAAATATATGTTCCAACAATATAAACCATTAAAAAAAGGAGGAAAAAAAAACTCCCATCCAAAACCTCCACAGCAGGAGGGGAAGGAAAAATAAAAGCCTGGGAAATAAAAGCCATCTCATTTTCTTTTATATGAGGCAGAAGAGAGATGATGTTGAGGATGGACCCTGCAGCAGGGATGCTGAGCAGAAGCACAGGGTGGTCAGGTTGCACCAGCCCTAGGGAAGGGCAGTGCCATCGCTCTCCATCCAAGCCAAACATCCCAGAATATCCCAAAACACTGGGCAAGATGGCACTTAACAAAAGCAGCCATTTGGTCAGCACTGGCCATTTCCATGAGTACTTGTGTGCTTTGGGATCTCTGTTTAGAAGGAATGTTGGAAGGCTCAGGATGGAGACCTGGAGAGAGGTCTGCAAACCAAACTCCCCAGCTCTGACTGACACCATCTCCCATTGGCACCTCCAAAGGCATAATTCCCACCACATGCTTGCTCTCTGACATCTTTATCTCCTGGAGAGCAGACCCATACCTAGGCTTTTACTAGAGATGGAGGCATTTGGTTTGCTCAGTGGCTTAAAGCATCCCCAACACTGCATGGATGTGGTGGCTGTACCAGGTGCAAGGGAGGTGACCCTGCACCAGAGGGCTTTCAAAATGAGATCAGCCATTCACACTGCAATGAAGACCCCAAAATTCAGGTGCTCAGCACCACGGGAGAAAGAACACAATGGCTGGATGACAGCAGACATCTCCAATAGCAGAGAGGAACCTGGCTTACACACACACAAGGAGATTCCTTTATAGTGAGATATACAGGGCTTGGACAAGGAGGTAAAGAGTATTAAGGCATAAAGAGGAGCAGCACAGCCTGGATGAACCCAAACCCACAGCTTGGAGAAGCAAGAAAGCAAGCAGGAGCCCATTCATCCCCTGTTCTCATGAGCTTTCCCATCGCCCAGAGTTCTGTGATACTCAGCTAGAGCAGACCCCAATGCTTTGAGAAGATAGAGCATTCATCAGGGTTGCACATCCCCTGTAAAGGCCATAAAACTCTCTTCATAGCAAGAGCCTGGCAGCGATGACATGCACGAGCTTGCCATTACCCATCATTTTCTGCCTGGGCTTGCAGATCACCAGCCCTGCAGGGTGCTGATGGCCACCAAACACTCCCAAACCAGAGCTATAGGGCAGCAAGAAGAGCTCCAGACCAGCTTAGGACTCATGGGATGAAGCTGACCCATGGATGTGAGCCGCCACACTCGCAGCCACGTGCCACCACACACTGCCCGTGCTGAGGAGCCCACGCTCCAGCAGGCAGATGATGTTTTCCTGAATGCATCCCCATTTATAATGGGACATTACTCACAAGCTGGAGAATAAAATGGAATAATAGCATCTCTCAGAGTTAGTCATGTTTTAAATGTGCACCTTTCAGAGCAGCAAGGGGTTTGATTGGATAATACCCCAATACACACGTAGGAAGCTTTCATTGAGGGACACAGCCCTTGTCGGCACAGTACATCTTGCTGCTCTTCGTGCTGCTACAACGAATGCTGCTGTCAGTGGGGGGCACAATTTAAGGAGGGTCCACAGCCTCTTAGAGAGATATTCTGAGCAAAACATTAGGTTTGGGGAGTTTTTCAAACTCCGGATGCCACAATTCATCATAGAATTCCTGACTGGTTTGGGTTGGAAGGGACCTTAAAGCTCATCCAGCTCCAACCCCTTGCCATGGGCAGGGATACCTTCCCCTCTCCAGGTTTCCTGTAGTCCCCTTAAGCACTGGAGCTGCTCTAAGGTCTGCCCAGAGCACAGGAGAAGGGGAGAATCCCATCCTGGCCTGCTGCTCACACTCTGGGGGTGCATCCCAGGACACAGGGGGGTTCTGGCCCCAGGCACACACTGATGGGTCATGGGGAGCTTACTCTTTTGGCTCTTCATGTCAAGCGATACCTGATCAAAGCTGTATAAGAGCTTTTTCATCCCCTTCCTCTACTGTTGAACTCCAGCATCCCCAGGGGATGTATTCCTCTACCCAAACAAACCCTCTGCTGCTGCAAAAAAAGAACACGAGCTGATTGAAAAGCATAAACTCATCTTGCAGATGTGGAATCAGGCCACAAACGTTTGCGAGTGAGGAATGCCACAGCCTCCCGCAGGCATCATGTTTGGGATGCCTTACCAGAAAGGGCTGGGAATTTCACCAAGAGGCCAGTTGAGCTGGGGGAACCACGTTTTGTCTCAAACCCAAAACAGTTCTCTCCTGCATCTGTTTTGATGATCCCTTGACGAAAAGCAGAAACCCTCTTGCTGGGAAAGCCCAGCTCTCCAGCATCCTATCTGAGAGCTGCCCTTGTGGGGAGCCCAGTGAGACAAACTGGCTCAGCACCAGCCCACACTGTGTTTTGTTGGGGAGAATTCCCTACAGGATTCTAGCTCCTATCTTTTGTTTCTCCTTTTTCTTTATGGTGTTCTTTTCCTCATAGGTGAGGCACAGTGAAATCTGCCAAGCAGTCTTCTCTGTATGCTTAAGGAGATGGATCCCAGTCAGATGCTCTTAACCAATGTCAGCAGCAGTGGGATGCAGGAGAAGGGCAATCAGTGTGGTGATGTTCCTCATAGCGTCCTGTTGCTCTGACAAAGGATTCTGTGGTGAATGAACAAAACAGTGCTCAAGGCAAGGAGCAACCTGCTCTAGTGGAAGGTGTGCCTGCAATGAGCAGGGGTTGGAGCTGGATGAGCTTTAAGGTCCCTTCCAACACAAACCAGTCCATGATTCTATGCTACAGTTCACCCACGCTCACATAATGGGTGCCGATGCTCTCAGTCATGGGTAAGCTGTGAGCAAACTCACCATCCTTCCTTCCTTCCCTTTCCTTTCTCATCCAGATAGAGACTGAATTGGGAAAAGAAACATCCGATTGACTTGATAGAGCTTTCAACTGCAGGGGTCATATTCCCTACACACCTCTCCCTCATCATTCTGAGGAGCATCAGGGCTGCAGACCCTGGTCCCTGCTGCAGGAAGAAGGGAATAGAGCAGCAACTTTCCCTTTAAATTAAATCCTGGGGAACAGAAATAATTAATAAAAGGAGTATCCTGCACGTTTCTGAGCATGAGACTCTCATACAAATGGTCCCCACAATGTTTAAACCATTTGGGCTCCTTCCTTATGCTGTTTCTAAGTTTGAAAAATGCCTGCTGGGGATGATTAATATTCCTCCTCCTACACTTACCCGTTACTCCTGACAGCAAAAATTAAAACAGGAGCTTCTTTTCATTCAACCCCAACCCACAGGAACGTGGTTACATGGGGAAAGTTGCTAATAAAAAAAAGGGGAAGGTTTGTAGATGCACTGCATTCACAGCCGGGAGAGGTGTAGCTCTCATTCAGCATCCCTGATGGATGAAAGATCCCTCACCTCCTCCCAACAGGATGCTCTGCAGGAACGCTGCTCAGTTGGGGTTAGGGGGAAAGCCACAGCAGAAAGCACCTTAACTCAGGTCCCTCTTGTGATAGGGATGCCCGTGGGATCACTGCAGCCTTACTTGCACCAGGCAGTGTTGCTATGGGCACTGCTGCCTAGGAGCAGCCAAGACAACAGGGAATAGAG